ATAGTAATTTATATATAGAACCGCGTCACGTTTCACTATGATCATTCTTCAGTTGACTGGAGAATCGTCAATTAAACTATTAAATTTGATTCAAATTCTTAAATCGACTCAACTTTTTTTAAGAATTGCAAAAGATATCAAAAACATCAAATCATTCTTTAGTACAAGTTTTAACATAATGCCCAAACTGTTTACACTTTCCACATTTCTGACCCTTATTATCACTCACAGCATCAACATTTGAACTTGCTTCTCTATTATTTGTATTAAGGGATGCATTATCCTTTAAATAATGTTTGCTTTTATATAATTCTTCGACACTTGATTTAAGCCTTTTAGGAGGGTGTCCTTTGTGCTTCATGATAATGGGATTCACAATCATATGATCTTCATCCTGCACTTGATTGTTATTCATTTTATTTTGTGTCTTACTTAAAAAGGTATTAAGAACTCTAGATAGTTCATTGTATAAATCAGCCTTAATCGCAAGGTCAATCACTTTTCTTGATAGCCCAAATAGGTTTGCATATCTTGCTTTAGCAAATCTTGCTATTGGATTAGAATTTTGTATGCTAGAATGAATTGAAAAAAGATGATGTAATGTTACATTTGGTGCAATATCAGGGGTCCCTAATTGTTCAAATCTAGAAACAGGCTTTGCAGGTATTTGTTGAAGCAGATCATTTAGGGATATATTTGGTTCTAAGTACTAATGGCTTGGAATAAGTGTTATATGAAACATGGCCATGGGAGAATATATACCAACATGAAAAAAATGTTGACAATTAATCCTTTATTGATTAGCAGGAGACAGGTATATAAATGAGTACCAGCACTAAGTAATACTACATAATGTCCATGTCTGGAAGTTTCTGTATAACGTATATGTCACACTTGAGGAATCATTTCGTATAGTGTGTTTTGTATTAATGATGCAAATAAAGTTTGACATACGTCATATTCTTGCTCTTTAATCTAAAGACCAATATTACTATTATCTATATGTTCTTCAATTAAATTTGGCTATTCCTAAATATACACAACATCATAACAAACACTCATGTTCATCTGATTCCTTTGTTTACTGAGCATTGTAGATGTAAGAAACTTTTTTAGAGTTTTATCAACCTCAAGAAAAATGTGACTGCTTAATTTAGGTAACTCAACTGTTGGGAGTATATTATGTTGAAGCTCGAATCTATTAGATATTCTTTTCGATTAATATGATTATTAAGGCTAGTCAATAAACTATACAACAAGGTTGAACAATCAACTTTTTGATGAATATGCATATTTATAGATTCGATCCTTTTGGTACTTTGTGCTTCTCCCGTAAATATTTTGTTAATCCAAGAGGTTGCCCAAGAAAATTTATTGACATAAAGAGTATCTACTAGATATTTAGCAGCTATAGGATAATCATCCAACAATTTTGCCTATCGACGTTCAAAAAGGCTTTTATATAAACTATTATGGCAAATATAAAAATTTGATTTGAATTCCTCAAATTTAGAATCTAACTTTCTCTTTAATTGTTTTTTTAAATTTAAATCTATATAAAATATATATATAATATGGTTAGTAGTAGGATATACATTCTTAATTGCACTTGTCATAGCCGGGTCACTATCTGTAAATATTGTTGTAAGTGTAACACTGGTTTCTTCATATAACATCTCAAAAAGCCACTTAAATATATCTAAAGTTTCGTTTTCAATGATACCACTTCCTACAATTCTTGTTCTGTAATGATTATCAATTATGGTAATAATAACGAGCATTAATTGAAAATGATTAGTGTTTGAAGTAGTATCTATAATGACTACATCATGAAAAGTTTCATATAAAGTTTTTTAAATAGGTGAAATCCAAAATAATGAAATTAATCTTCTTGACATAGGATCTAAACATTGTTTAACAATCCACAAAGGATTTTCTTATTTTTATTTCAACAAAGTATGAAGCATGGTTAATGCGTCTAAATCACCCAGATTATTTTTTCATCTAAAATCATAAACAGCATTGTATAAATCACGCTTATATATAGGACAATCAGGATAGTTGTGTTTAAGTAATAGATAGATTGAATCAGAGTTCATTCTGCCTTGAACTATATATTTTTTGATATCAGCCAACATGGCAGGTGTTAACTTGCGAAACCGAGAAGCAATTTCTTTAATCAGAGGGATAAGCGAATGGTTATGAATAGGATTAAATGAATTGATTTTCACAACAGACATTGTCTTAGGAGATGTAATGTTCAATTTACAGTGACATTCTATCCGTTGAAACATATTATTACACCACTTATTAGGATCAACTGTTATCTGTGGATCATATAAACCATCTTTTGTATATATGTAATTAGCCTTTTTAACCCTGTCTCCTTCTTTTTCACTGGTTTTAATCCTATAATTAAACCCTTCTTGTTGTGCAAACCGAGTTAACCAAGTACTAAATGATTTCCAATCTGGAAATGAAAGTCCTGATTCTAATACTAACTTGTTGTCAAATATCTCTTTATTTTGAGATTCAGCCGCCTCATCTAAACTCTCCTTTTCACGTGATTCCTCCTTATGAGATTCCTTTTCATCTGCCTTATATAAATTTGTCATTTTATTATACACATCCCTCTGGTTATTTATTGGCACATTTAAAAGCTCAGTATAAGAATCAAAAGAATTTTGTACAATATTATAATGAAAGTCTTGTAAGTGCTATAAATTTTAAAAGTTACAGGAGTCTTGAAAATGCTGATCATGAGAATCAATATAGAAGTTGCAAAGTTCTTGAAAGTTTATAGGATCATTAAAATCATAAGGATCTTGTAAATAATTATCATCTGGAATATTGAAGTCACAAAAGTCTTGATGGTACCGAAACAGAGAGTCTTGAAAGTTATCATAAAAACCGATGAGTTAGTGATCTTGAAGGTTATCACGAAAGTCGAATTCAGAGAATTCATTTGTTTCAATATTATCAAAAGACATTGTAGTTAATTAAAATGCTGATTAAGATATGAAATGCAAAAAAAGTAAGGAAGAAAGTAAAATTAGTAATGCGAAAGTATAAATTCTAATTAACAAATCAATAGTTTAATCAACTTAAGTAACATGTCACGTGATATGGGTTTCGAACACTGTTTACCAATAATTTATATAAAATTTTTAAGACTAGTTTTTGTTACACATGATATGGGTTTCAAATACTAGTGTCAAATTAGTTAAATTCTTATTTATTTATTATTATTACAAATTTTATTATTACAATTTTATTACTATTAAATTTAAAATTTTATTTTATTTTATTTATTCTATTCTATTTACAAAATATTACAAAAATAATTACTATTACTATTACTATTCTCCCAAATCCTCCTTCTTAATTCCTACACCTCATTCTCCAAATTTGCTACTTGAACTTGTAGCCTATTTCTCTTTGTCCTAAGATTCTGAAGCTGAGTCTCTCGAACAAAAGTTTCTCTTGCTGCTTCTAGAACTGAAGGATTTCTTTCAGCTGCTTCTGCCTCCAAACTTATAACTTGATTTTGGAGCACCAACAAACAATCTGAAACCAAACTTCCTTTATATGATGAGGCATCTACAAAGCAAAACTTAATTAGAAATGATTTATTTCTAAGTGTATAAACTTGAAAAATGATAAAAAAAATAATTAGAAAGACCCTTATTCCAAGAATACAACAAGCAAGGTTTATTACTTGCAATACTAATAGAGATAAGTTCTTATTCTACCCACACAAGAGACTACAGGTATTGAAATAAAAAAGAGAAAAAACAAAGGGAAAAATATCTACTAGGGCCAACTACATAGTGCACCAAAGTAAAAGACTAGCCAAGCCCATATGCTTAAATTAGATAAGCCCTAGTGCACAGCCAGAACAAGTATACATACCTTAAAATGATAACAAGATAAATGAACAAGAGAAGACAAGACAAAGACAAAGATTTTTTGATAAAACTACAAGAAGAAAAGACGAAGATATTAGAAAAGTTTAGAACAAAAGAAAGAGAAAGGAAAAGGAAAGATAAAAACCAGAAAGTGTGAAAAAAGATTTTTGAATATGATGAATACCAAAAATTAAGAACTAAATAACAGAAAAACACAATTAGCTGTAATGAAAAGATCATATGATAAATGCAGAAACACAATCACAACTGACAATGTGATTGCTAGAATAGGAAATCTATGGATATTTAAAACAAATATATGCTAATTTTGAACAAATTAGCACATAAAGTTCGGAGACCTCACTTTTTAAGAGGATAGACAGACAAAGAATTTTTAATTAATAGAACATTGTAGAAATTTTTATTTTTAGAATTAAAGATCCAGAGCACACAGTTAAACAAAAACTTGTTTAACAATTATAGTAGACAAAGACACTCTATATGGAATACACAAGCAAACATTTCAAAAATCTCTTAATTATATTTATATTACTATAAAACTTTATAAATAAATACCCCTTGCATCTAAATTTCTGTTTTTTAAGAGTGTGGTGACTTAGTGAAGTGGTCAAGTTGTCACCCTCCAAGCGGCACATCTAAGGTTCAAATCCTGTTGCTGGCGAATCTTTGAATAATTACCTGTATAATAGCTATGATTATACATACTACCGAAATAGGTTTTCAAAAAACACCTATTTCGTCTCCATTAGAGCAATTTAGATTTTTTTATATGCAATAGCAAATCTAATTTAAGTAGTTATAGTATGTTCTTTATAATTTTGTCTCTTCAAAAAAAGTGTCAAAAAATTTCGTCTTTTAAGTAAAATGGGTTAAAAACAATTTTGTCTTCAAATTTTAATTTCGTACCCCAAAATCTAAAATAATTTCGTTGGCATGTATAGCTATGATCTTCCTAGTTGGGGCTGTGTTATACATAGTGCTCATCAAAGTTGAGGCTCAGTTCTGTAACCTGGTATATACCAATTTAACCAAATTAGAAGGATCTATAAGGCGTTTATATGATATATAAGTTATATGAAGGCATGCAAGCCAACAAAGAGCGGTACAAATCCACAATAAGTTCTTATAGCCAGATAATTCCTAGAGACTTCGGCAAGATCAGTGCCCGTTTAGCAAGACCTGAATGGAGAGATAATGCAATCTTAAGTGCCTGGGTGAACTCCATAAGGGCAGGATGATTCAAAAATAGTGTAACCTGTCTGTAAAGGTAAAGAATTTATCTGATAAAGAATTTTTCTGTGAGGTAGTTCAGAAGTAGTGTAATCTGCCTATAAAGGTATAGAATTTATCTGATAAAGAACTTCCTATAGTTGATCAATAACTGCTAGGTTTGCTGATAGAAGGGTCCACCCTTCCAGCCATTATACAACCCAAAGAAATCTAGGTCAGATATTAGGTAACAGGCGGAACAGATGGCACTAGTTAGGTATCTCCTTCTCTTACTATAATTAGTTATACTTTAAATTAGTTTCTTAATAGAACATAAGAGGTGATTTGCTATATAAAAACAGTTATATGAGATAAATAAATAGTTAGAATAGTATTACCTTAATACAAAAATTGTAACTAATATTATATATATGGCAAAATCAAAAAAAAAAATAAAAAATTCTGTTTCCTAATTTAGTAACCCTTTACTCTACATCTTAAAAATGAAAACTCCTACTCTACAACAATTACAACCCCAAACTATAAATGCTTTAAATAATTTTCTTGTACAATGAAACTAGAACCTCTTTGCTATAAACAATAGTTTAATTATAACTAGAAATTCTATTGTAATATATGATGAAACTGATATTATTATATCATTACAATACATTCCAAAAACAAAACCGGACCTATCTACACAACATTTGGAAAATATTGATATATTAAATAATTATTTTTCAGATATAGCATTTAACGATCTTACTTTTTCTATCGAACCTATAGAAGAAGAATTGGATATACTTCCTTCACAACCTGATGCAGATATTATACAGATATAAGACACAGAAAATAAAATTCATGCTCAACTTATTAAGGATCTTACTGAAGTAAAAGAAGAAGTTTTTATTCGATACAATCCTCTAATTAGAATAAACTTTAAAGAAAAACTTAGAGAAATCATTAGCTAATTAAAAGAAGAGAGCTGTGAAAAATCACGTGATCAACAGATTCGAATGTTGAAAACATCTTATTATTTAGAACAGCTAAAGAAAAAAGCTAAAAGTAGTAAAGAAAAGATACAGAAGATTCATGATAATCTTAAGAAAGCTCTAGAACTCAGACATGCTGCCTGAGCATGAAAATGTACTGAATGGATTTACCAGCTTCTCCAAGTTTGTGGATTACCTTATCTTTATTCCACTACGATAATTACCTTTAGTAACTTGGAAAAATTAAATGAAGAAAACTTTTTAACATTATTAAGAGAAGTTAGAATTCACAGAGTTCATTCTTAAAGGAGACAGAAATGTTATAGAATAAGTTGTAGTATTAGTTTTATTATTAAGTTTATTATTAGTTATTATTAGTATATTATTATTATTATATTATTATATTATTATCTTGTATTCTATTATTGTATTATTGTGAAACCTTAGATATTATTGGTTAGTTGTATGTAGTATTAGAAACTGATAGAATGATAACCGTTTTTATAGTTCTTACCATTCTTACCATTTTTACTGTTCTTATCATTTTTATCATTTCTACTGTTCTTACTGTTTTTATCATTTCTATCATTTTTATCATTTTTTATTTTTTTTTTTATTTTATTTTTTTTTATGTTTAAAGGCCAGGTACTATGGCCGATTTTTTATTATGAGTCAACGTAATATTTGTTACATGAGCAAGGATACAACTAGCCACATGTGCACTTTTGGTGCCTAATTTAAATAGTCTGCCAAAAGGTTCTACACTAGTTGCCATACCTACAACCCAACTACAGGAATTGCCTATTTAAACTCTCTGACTTACGATCCTCCTATTACTAATCCGATTCACTACGTATTGCAGATATAATGGGCCCAACCCTTTTATTACGATGGCCTAAGGGCTATTTTACCCTCGTACTAACTGCTTACCGAACAACTTTCCATGTTCCAAACATGTAATTATTGCCAGATTTAGTAACCAAAGCTATCTGCCCTTATTAGATTCATTTTGATCATAGTACCAGCTTTCTTTTTGGCCTATACTGTATAGACCGATTCCACTACCTCCTAACTTGGGACTTGCCAAACAGGTTCTTGTAGATTTTTTCTAGTTTTCTGAATTTGCGATGCATTACTACATCATTGCACCCATAGGCTCCCATTCGAGATGGTGAAACCAGGATTACAGGTTTTACATCCAACCGATCAGAAGCCACAATTACCGAACACAGATTTAACTCCAAAACGTCACCAGTGGGATTCAAACTGTCAATCTGCCGCTTGGAGGGTGACACCTTAACCACTTTTCTAAGGCGCCACGCCCTTCTACCATTTCTTATTATTTCTATTAGTTTTAGATAGTTTAGGAAAAAATATATAAACCCTAACTTTTCTACCTTTCTGCCAGTTAGTTTGAATCATCTTTAGATAGACTCAAGTAGATACAGAAACACTCTTTGGTTATAGGATTCTTTCTTATAATTAAAGTCTTATATATCATAAATAAAATATATCTTTCTTTAACTATATACTTTCTACGAACTGCCCTTAGTGAAGTAACATTTTACTTTCATACCGCTATAATCTTACAACAGAGCTCTATAGCTATATGCTTTGTTACTTGTGCTATATTAAGAAGGCTACAGTCCACTTGTAACAATATTATTTCTATTTCTTATTATTTAGCCAATCATAAGATTTTAATTATACTAAATAAGACTGTGTCAACTTAATTTCTTTATTTAAAAATCTGTAAATATCAACTAAAATATTTGGTATATACTTTATAGAAAAAGAATAATTATTATTAAAACTTTTTAAATTAATAAATTTCTGTTTTAATATCATTATTATAAATTT